TCACTTCTCTACTACTGAAGGTCTTTTCCGGCTATCTTGTCCGGCAATTCGGCAACCATATATTATGCATTCAACTACCACAAGGAATACGTTGGTGTCAAAACAGCCTAGGGAGCAAAAACGATGTCGCCGTGTGTATTTTTGCACGAAAAACTAGCATGATCAGCAATAAAGCAGGAACACAACGTCTGCCTTCATCGAACACGTGCGCTGCCATCACCCCGTGAAGTATGTACGTGTACGTGTACCAGGCTACTTCTAGGAATGATCTTCCAGCCATCATGTTTGTTTAAATTTTTACAAAAATCTAAATTTAAGGCTTAAATGCTTAAACAATCAAAAACTGTTTCGTGTTTGATTTTTAATGGAATGTATGTAATGCCATGTTTGCACTACAGTCCCTAGTTTGAAATGGAAACAAACTAGTTTAATTTTATCATTTTAAAATGAATTGAGCTGAAATGCATAAAATTATGAAGTGCCATTATTTTTCATTCTTTATTTCTATTTAGGCCCCATTATTTTTATACTTGTTGCATGTAAATGTTTTTCCTACTTCAAGATATTTCATGTTTTTCAAACTCACCTGCTTGCCCAAAGTACTAGGCCTGTCTCCTTGTGAACCTGGTCATAACACTTAACACAGATGGATTACATGCATGTGTTGCCTGCCATACCAGGCAAAAAGGGAAACTCCCCAGTGTTTATGAATGAGAAATAAAACAGGTTGCATTGATTGCATGCAGTATATGCATGTCGCGACATTCAGAGCAGGTCAAAAGTAAACGCATCATTGAAGAATTCAAACTGCAAAGTAACAACAAAAAACAATGCTAAATTCCAGGACAATTCTGTCAAACTAACTCATACGTGTCGTTCTGTAGTTTATGGCCCATCTTCACAGTTTTGTGTCAATGTAGGCCTACAGAGATGATTTCTATCCATTTATTTACAAATGTGGTCTTGGTCTTGGGTTACTTTTTCTGGCCTGGTCTTGGTCTTGGTCTGTTGGTCTCAGTCTTGGTCTCAGACTGCCTGGTCTTGACTACAGCATTGAATAATGCCGATGACTTCCCCCTTACGTGTTCCTGAACTCTTTCCCCAAGTGATCTTGCCGTTTCCCCAAGGTATCTCTCTTTACACCCTTGCATGTTAACTGGAATATCACCTCGCTCTGGTTGCACTGTCATTTTCTTCTGTATACTGTTGGCACACCGTGCTCTCATCACCTAGGCATCTGTCCCCTCGGAATGCATTTGACCTCGTCAGGATGTCCTTTACTCTACTCCCCGCTTTTTCCACAATCTTTATCTTAAGGCCCACTTGCCGGCTCACCGTTTCCCGGGTCCTTTTGGCCAGAACACCTTCCAGTGTCGCTTCAACAAACATGACGGCCTCGTACCTGCCTTTCTTAGTGAACCATTGGTGCTCTTTCTTCTTTTTTGTCCAGCTTTCTCTCTCCTTTGCTCGCCATGTTTTCAATCGGTAGAAAGGAACCCTCTCCGTGTTGTTTCCCCTGTTCTCCATTATTTTCTTTGCCCGCCGGTAGATCTCCAACTGCTCCTTCTCCATGTAGCCACTGAACTGCATTCTGTCTATGTAATGCTGTATATGCCTGGTTGTTCTTTCCTGTCCATAGTCCTCCGAGATATTCCTCATGACTCTGGTTAGATCGTCGACCAAAATGTCCATCCTTCTCTTTCTTTGGCTCACAGCACTTTTTTGTGTGAATTACGTACTTGCATTACATTGGTTTCATGTAGTGACTGAACACGTTCAACATGTCGGAAGAAGCGAACCGAGCAGCCTGGGAAAGAAGTCATGGAGGAAATAACCGATCATGAACACAATACATCCAAGTAACTTCTGATGTACCGGAAAACTATGCGGATGAAAGGATGCCGGTCCTAGATCTGACGGTCGGACTGGTAGAAGTAAAGAAAGACGATGGTAGTAAGTGGGTAATACACCACAGTCACTACATGAAACTGTTTTTGACTGGCCTGCTGCGGAAAAATAAACACCACGCGAAAACAGTATGCTCGATTCTCACAAAAAAGGTGCAAGAATTACTGCAAAGGGTTACTCTAAAAAGTCTGGAAGACCCAATGCGTGAAGAATGCACTGTGAGGCTAGTGTGAAAAATGTCGAGTGGGCGGAAACCACCCCAGCCTTGTTTTGGGGGGCGGGGGACAGACCAAAGAAAAATGGACTACGACTTGTCGGAAAAAAATCATTTTGCCTCCTTGAGTCCCCCAACCCCATTCCTGGATCATACCGTTGAAAACTGTGGCTCCCCCTCCCTCTGAAAAGCAAAACCCTGGGCACACTTCATGAGAATATTTGCAATTGATTTTGAATGAAAAAGTACTCAAAAATCTTTTTTTTTCCTTTTTACGAAAAAGTGGGGGATGATTCTATGGCCCATCCTCGGAAAAAGTAATCGATACATATACACCCTATGGCCTATCTCCCGGGATACTAATCAGTCTGGGCGAAAAAGTGATACGCCCGGGTGAAATAGTAATCCGCCCGGGTGAAATACTAATCAGTCCGGGCGAATTAGCAGGCCTTTTTTTCAGTCATGTCCTATATTATACGCTTCCGTTCGCAAAACCCCTGTGGTTTTGAATAGGACCAGCTGGCGGTCTACGCGTTTTATATGTCTGTCCCAACTATGGTTAACTGTTAACTGTAGTTGGGTCAGTCCAACTAATAGTGCTGCAGTTGAGCTGGTGCAACTATTGGTGGTCAATCTCCTCTGTATACAGTTTCTCAACCTTCCTCAGTCTATGCATCTCACACCTAATATAAACTCATCTAAAATATGGCAATTCATTATAAAAGCTTATTTCTGCCAGCACGACTTTCTGATGTAAACAAAATGACTTGCGTGCTGTAGTTGGGCCGGCCCAACTATAGCACTATCATGTACTGTATGTCTACGGTGAGAATTTCTGGCCGGCTCATAAGCATTAGCCCCCGCCCCACAGTATCCCCTGTATCCCAAAAGGTGAGATTGTGTAAATTTTTGCCAGGATAAACTCCCTGGGTTTCGAGGCATTCATCTGAGAGCACAATAGCTAAAAAAAATTACGGTTGAAAAATGGTCCTAAGTAGGCCAAGTAGAAAGTTGGGGGTTGCCGCTTGAAAAATGGCTGTAAGCAGACTTCAGAAAAATCCCTCATCGGGGGGATTTTTGTTTGGCAGGAATAAGTAAAAATGCAATCGGTTAACCAAAATTGAAAAGAAATTGCAAGGTTAAGGACCAGACAATAATGTAATATGTGTTTCAGAAACCCCAGTGATGTTGATATGCATGTTATTGAGCCCTGAACGCTGTTTCAATGCGGCTTGAATTAGTGGACTACGGCCCAAACTATATATTTTGGCCAGTTTCAAGTATAGTTGGGACTTATGCTGTAGTTGGGGCGTAACATGTCTCGTCTGGGTCTAGGCCTAGGGTGTCATGTCCCAATTTAAGGAAAATTCTCCGCCAGGCGGTGGCGCTTGAAGTACCACTGGAGATTCTTTCGAAAAGAGGGGTCTGTGTGGGTCAAGAAATTGTGGAATTGTTTAAGTGTGGGCCAGGATTACCTTAGTAGATTTAGGGGCATCCATCTGGGGGAAAAGCAGACAAAATGTGATTGAAAATTTGTCAGAAGAGCCCGCGAAAGGTGAGGGAAGTCATTAAAAAAATTGCTGCTTAAAAGACTTTAGTCTGGATACCAGACTCGATGATTCTGACTACCCGACGAATCAAGGGTCTGGTATCACCCAATGTCACGTGATCAGGACTGGAGGAATTCCTTCAGTTTTCCGGAAACAGCCGAAATATTCCGAAGTCATCCTGTCTACATTCTGCATGCTCGGATGGTACCGTTAATGTTCGTTTATTCCCGGTCGGGTAGGTGGGCTTTTTGAACGTAAACCGTCAACCATCATGCACTGACATATAACAACAAAGTTAACACAACTTACTTGTTGATGGTACGGGTGTGTACGTAGAAGGAATGTTGCTTTACAAGAACTGATCAACTATAGCATTTCAAAATGCTTTTGTTTGATTTTGAATTTTATGAGATTTTTTAAAGTTTGCCTCATTACTATAGGGAACTCGGCTGCATTGCAGTCCACCACGTAAGGGAATGAAATCGAAAACATCCGGGCTTTCAACTTGTAATCTCTGACCTTTGCGTCATATCTGTTTATATCCGTGGGCGATGCCTGAGCTAAGATTCTTGACAAAGGGTCGTCAACGATTGGGAACATTCACTTTGGGGTGGGGGTGGCGGTGAGATTTTTGGGCTGATAGTGTGTTGTTTGGTCGTTCAGATTTCATTTGATTTTCAATTTTTAGTAGGTTAACCAATGAATTTTTAATTGTTTTGTATGAGAGGCCTCAGGGACTCTAGTTTCCTGCCATGGGGCTCCAAACTTGGCTGATTTTACAATATTTTCAATGGAGCTTGAATTAGTTCAGTGCACCTCTAGGGGTGCATTCCATGCACGAAATGGTCTCAGTGCGTGCGAGCTCATTAATATTCTGTGATCCTTCGGAGTTTTGACAATAAGACATATGCCATAATCGGGAGGGATCATAGAAATATTTTGATGAATCCCGAATTAGGGACTGATAGTTTCCAGTTCGGGGTATTTCTTTCACAAAATGCCCCCAAATTGCGGGCCTGTTTTGGGTAGAGCCGGGCGGTTACATTCAGAGCTGAGCACATAGTTTTACTACTACTTGGGGTATATTCGGGGAAAGGCGAATAAAAAAATCATGGCTAAACAAAAAGTGATCTTCTGGCTATATTCTTGAATTTGCGGTGAAAAAACGAAGGCCAACCTCTTCACAAGAGTCAACAGGCGGCGCTATTCCGGTCCGATTTTGCACTGTTTTCTATGGGAGCGTATTTGGTGTTGTGAAACCGTAAATAGAGACCAGAGACCAAAGATCGTATAGCGCCGCCAAGCGGTGCGATATAGCGCCCCTTGGTGGCGCTGTATCTTTACGACCTTTGGCAAAGGGTAGAGACGTTCGTGCAGCCAAATCTCTGCTCTGGATACCCGTTTCGGGATTCGCATTTCCCTGACTCTGAACTTGTCTTAAGGCCAACCGCCCGCAAAACTCTACTGCAGGCCTACTGACGTGTGGGTGAACCCAGTGATGCCAGTATTTTTGGACGGTGTTTTTACAGACGTCTGCCTCGTCTTTCCTTGGTAGAGTATAAACCCGTAAACAGGGCCCAACGAATATTCCTCCGTTGTATACTGGGCCCTGTCTCGATTAATAGGGATTTCTTTCAAAAACTTTATCCGGGACATCCAGGGGCATAACTAAATATCTGCTTAATTTTATGAGCTGAAATTGCACCGGTATGTTCACTACTTACGTTGTAAAAAATCCACTAGGATGCTTTGTCCATGTTTGGAGGAAAAAATGTTACCTTTTTTGCCGTTTTCCCACTCCGTATGAATTTTCACCTGACCTGCTGACTTGTACATTACACAGTCTCCTTTGTATCGTTAAGTAATGGTACCCAGTACGTGAGCCTGTCGGGTTTGCACCGAGACTTCAGCACCTAAGGTACGGATCTTGTTCAGATCTGCACGCGAGAGTACCTGTCGATCTAAGTAGCCTACTCGTAGAAAATTACGGCTGTTTTGTGTCGCAGCTAATACGCAATACCCTTGGTTAGTTCCCTGTCCAGTCACACACTGTGGCAAATCATTGGTATCATGGCTCGCTCTCTGTAACGTGACAGGAAAATGACGAAACAGCCGTCACTTTTGTGCAAGTGGGGCAAACTTCGTCCGGAGTGAGAAAACGGCAAAAAAGGGCAAAATTTTTTCCCTCAAATTAACAACCTAGCGGCTGATTTACACCGTAAGTAGTGAACATACAGTGCAATTTCATCTCATAAAATCAAGCGGATGTTTAGTTACGTCCCCGGATATCCTGGATAACTTTTTCGAAAGAAATCCCTATGAAGTGGGACAGGGCCCAGTATGCGACTGAGGAGCATTCGTCGGGCCCTGTTTACGGGTCTAGGTAGAGTAGTACGTACTACTAGCTCTACTGAGTGGAGTGTTAGTATTCCTCTTAATTTTGGACGCTCCACGCTTGTACATAGAGTAAGGTGAAAACGGTTCTTAAAAATTCCAAAGACCTCTATCACCACCTACTGGCTTCTGTAAATGCCAACGTCAAACGGTTAGGGCTTCAATGATATATTTCTGACTTAAAAATCTTACCGTTTTCGCTCGACACACGCACACCACAAGTTTTTTGCTGCCTGCTCCTTTCAAATGCACAGGTTGAGATTTTCAATCCGCAATAACTCTACATGTATGGTCGAAACATGGTCCTCCCAGAAACACGCATGAGTTGCCTATACGTGGTCTGGGCACAAGACTTGTTGATCATTAACGTTTGGAATCTTTTGGTCTGGAAACCAGACAGACAGTATGCATACATGCATGTACATGCACGTGTAGGCTTCACAGAAGTTGTGTAGTTTGCGATGCTTATGATGGAAGTGATTGGATTGAGTTGTGATAAATTTTCTACAATATGCATCTCCAGATGTACATTCCAGAAATACTGTGCATACATGTATAAGGAACATGTGAACAGTAGTATACGTACATCCACTAGGTACATGTCAAAGTGTGAAAAAGATTCTAATATTTTTCAGTATGGTAAAATGACATGATATCCTGGACATCAGTTGTAATGTAAATTAAAACGGGTGTCCAACTTGTGCTAGCCTATGGTTAATATTAGACATGTGGCACTGCAGCTGTAACACGACTTCTAAAAATCTACATACAGGTGGATCATTACATTTTAAGCATTTTATTTCAAATCTATAATATTTTGGATTCTACTCCTAGAACGATGGAACTTGTACTTGTAATTAAAGAGAGGTACAACATTCATGTACATGACAAACGATAATTCTTGTGATATTTGGCCTCCACTAGGCCATCAACCATTCAACATGATAAAGGTGCTGCAATAACTCATTGATACCCTACAATAACTATGATATGCACACTGCTCAGTACATATTAAGTACATGTACATGGACCCTGGTTTTAGCTTAGAGCCATGACTGTCTTCAGTTTCTTTGAACCTTTTGGTTTGGTTCTTTCTCTGAGGGAATTACAGTAGTTTGTCAACTTCAGTACTAATGGGAGCTAATAACGTACTGTCCAGCTGAAATAAACCACGTTTGTACGTGTTTAAATGCAAGTCTTCATTTCACAAGCAAGGGAAAGGTAGCATAACTGTACATGTAACTCGGGCAGTTGAATTGAATCATATTCCTTATCGTATGTGGAGTACTTTAATTGGGTAACAATTCCACTGAATTTTTCCCAGGAACAGTTCAATATATTTCATGTACACATAGCATAGTGGCAAAGCATAGTATTTGACTTGTGTGCTGATCTGGTTCTGCCTGGTGAATACATGCGTACATGTAGCAAAAATAATGACTTTTATGTGATGATGAATAGATGAGAATTAGGCTCCCAATCATGAATATAATTCTAAATTTCATAATGGCTGACTAGTGCTTCCAAACATGCCAAAGACAAGCTATGGGGACTTCAGTGGTACTCATGATCAGTTTTGGGGAGTAAATTGATCAAATTTGACACCTGCCATGCCAATTAAAAAAGTACAAAACAAGTGGCCAATGGTTCTGTTTGATTCCATCTGCACAACCATTAAACTTTCCAATTGGGGCAATTCACAATAAAGTGTGCCAGCAAGAGCTTAACACACAGAGGTCATTTTTCTAGTTGATGGTAAACAAAAGCATGATTGCCTTGCCACAATTTGTATCTGAGGGTATATGTACATGTATGTCAGTAGATAAATTGTAAAAAAACTTTGATAAATTGAGCCATTCCTTGCAACAGAAAGGATTAATTAATACTGCCATTAGAAATACAATTAAAATACTGAAAGACAAGCATGAGGAGTTCAAGTTCCACCTAGCTGGTGAATGAAATTGTCACCATTTTCCAGAATGCACTTCAAAAAATGGTCTATCCTTGACAACTTACGATGTATTTGGTGGTGCACTACCACATAATTGCGGTACATGTACATCAAGTAGGCCTACGGATCAGATACAGTACATGTACAACCTAATGTACCAGTACATGTACATGTACATACACAGGTAGGAGTGCAACAGACTCACGGTAAATTCAACCATGTTCACAGTGACTTTACAAAAAGACGCTTTTACAGGGAAAGAATCCCATACTTATACCTTGACATCACTCAACATCTTGTCCACAGACATTATGAAAACTGGTCTGAATAATTCTGTTCTTAAGTACATGTATATGCTTTTGATATTTTCCCTGCTAAATTATACTTTTTAGGGCATGTTACCAATTTCTGATGGCTGATACGTCTTCGCAGGGAAATTCAGTGATACCGTTCTATGGAATTCTTCCTGTTAAAAGGTTTACATACATTGCACTGAGCGT